AGAGAGGGAGAAGAGGACTATATATTTAAAAAAAAAAAAACAGTGAATAAAACAGAATCTGAGCACAGACAAAATACACACACGCCTGCACTCACGACAAACAAAATACTCACATGCAAGTAAAAAAACTCTCTCTCCAAGACCCTGTAGACTGTTGTAAGAGCCTTGGAGGGACCTAGGCAGCCAAGCGCCTGCCTAATGAGATACCCAGGTTGCTACTGGTAGGGCCGTGTGTGAGGCCCATGCATGCCACAGGTAGAGACAGCCAGACAAACAGGGCTCGCGCGCGCGCGCGCGAGCGAGAGAGAGAGAGAGAGAGAGAGAGAGAGAGAGAGAGAGAGAGAGAGAGAGAGAGAGAGAGAGAGAGAGAGAGAGAGAGTTTTCCACATGCGCAGTCATCAGCCAGTGCTTTTTTGCAAGATCAACAGCAGCGGCAGCAGCAACAACAGCAACAGCAGCAACGACGGCAACAGAACAGCAACAACAACAACAACAGCAACAGCAACGACGACAACAACAGCAATAACAACCGAAGCAGCAGCAAAACCTCGGCCTGAGGTCGCTCGATTTTCGACCTTAGTGAGAAACAGCAGCAACAATAGCCGCAGCAACAACAGCAGCAACAACAGCAGCAACAGCAGCAGCAATAGCAGCAGCAACGACAACACAACCACCACCAACAACAACAACGACAACAACAGCAAAACCGCTGACTGAGGTCACTCAATTTTCGAGTGTGTGCCTTTTTCATTTCTTCGTCTCTACCTTTATCATCAGTTTTTTCTTTTCTTTTCCCGTTCTTTCAAACAAAGCTGCTACGTATTCACCATTGTCTGGCTCCACCACTCTCGATTCCACAATTTTCAAGAGTGAGGCTCAACTCCACCAGCTCTCGATTTCGAACTCGAAAAATTGATCGGAAGTTTCTCGGAGAATTTCTACAAGCGGACTCTCGGAAAATCGAGGGGAGTCCTCAGACTGCACACTCTCAAAATTGTGCGACCTCGGTGGTACCCCTCAACCATCCTCGAATTTCGAGAGTAGGCCACATGTTGGGACCCAGCTGTCGATATTTTTCTTCCCCGTTACGTACTCAGAAGAACATAAAGTCACTACTCGTGCAGTACAAGAGTAGGTGGAGCGAGGACTTGGAAAAACAGTTTTTTTAACTTTTTTACGAGTCTGACATCTCTCGATCTGCACTGGATTTTGGAATCGAGTCGAGAGTGGTGGAAGCAAGACCCGATATCGCTAAAGGGGTTTTGAAACCAAAAGAGTTCTGAGTTCCGGGACGGCAAACAGACAGTACAAGGCATGTGTAGGGACAAGACAATGAAGGTGACAGTACACTCCCTGAGTCATAATGCTAACAACCTGCAGTAGGCTACCAGAGTGGCAACGGGACCAGAGCTGCGCAGTAATCCGTAGGCAGAGAGGGACAAAAGAGAGAAGAGGACAACAAACGAGGGGCTGTGACAAACTGTTTCGTCAGAGATTCACCAACAGACTCATCAGGAGGCTGAACCCTCACCCTCAACAGTCTGCAGAGTCCCCTAACTGATTACACTGTAAGTGATAATCCACATTAACCCCGGTTGTGGTTAAGCATCAACGACTGCCCGACAACGGATACCCCTCTGAGGTGGTGGGGACCACCAACCACTGCCCTCATAGATCGTCAAACAGAGCTGCCCGGTAAACCATGGGCAGAGAGGGAGAAGAGGACAACAAACTTAAATATATATTTACATATACAGTCAAACAGAGCTGCCCGGTGAAGCGTAGGTGGCAGAGAGGGTGGGAGGGAGAAGAGGACAACAAACGAGGGGGGCTGTGACAAACTGTTTCGTCGGAGTTTCACTGACTCATCAGGAGGCTGAAACCTCAACAGTCTGCAGAATCCCCTACCTAAATGATATCACTTTAACCCCGGCTGTGGTTAAGCATCAACGACTGCCCGACAACTGATACCCCTCTGAGGTGGTGGGGACCACCAACCACTGCCCTCAAGGTACCTGTGACGAAAATCAAAGCAGACAATCACTCACCCACACCAGATGGAAAACTCTACAGACTATCTGTCAGTTCATACCCCATCACAAGCAACAACCAAGCAAAACACCCACGAAACAAAGAAAGGTCTGTCACAGCCAAAAAATACACACTCCAGACACGCCGCTGGCACTAGAGGCACAGCATGGCCGCGTAGTGACGGCCCCAGCTCTGTTTGACGACATAAATTTGGTAAAGATTTTGGATATGACCCTGAGGCAGAAGTTATTCAGTTTATTTTTCTGCATAATATAGTTTTTTTTTTCGGATTTTTTTTTTTTTTTTTTTTTACTGGGACCTTGCCTGGTCCCCCCAAGGCCGGGCCGCCCAGGAAAACAAGGTGACCCGGGCGGCCCGGCTGGTAGCCTAGCTAACAACGTAAGGCTGTTTTCCCGGGCGCCCAGGCACCCAACTTGTGCCCGGATATACACCTGCGTGCCCAGCCCGGCAGGCTCCCGGGCAGCCCCAGCCGAGAGAAAACAAAACAGAAAAAAAAAAAAAAAAAAAATCTAAAATTTCAGGGGAAAAAAATGCTGTGTAGAATTGCAATGCAAACGACTTTTGGCTGAGGGCCACATGAGAATTCCTCACCAGAATCCGAGAAAAAAAAAAGATAACAGAACCACACTAAGGCACCCCCTTTAACCCCCTTTAGCCCCTTCAAAACCAATGTATACCCCCCTTCCCCCCCTTGACAGCAGAGAGCACAGAATTTGCACGCCCGGGTACCCCGGGCATCAGACCCCCCCCCCGGCGTTACGCCCTGCCCGGGCGTGACAATCTTCTTAGCTAACAGCTGCATAAATCCCTCTATATAACAGATGGTTGATGGCAGGATGACATATAATTTACTGCTGCTACACTTACAGCTCACAGATATTGCGGTTATGAGTTTGTAACTTCGTCTGAGCTTGACTGGAAGTTTCCCATTAAACCACCACTACCTCCGACCCTGTTTTTGCCGAGCCTGACTTTCACAGCGCACCGAGTTCCGCCGAGCCAGGGCAGTTTCAGCCAAGAAGGAACAAGGGGGGGGGGGGAAAAGAAGAAAAAGAAAAAAGAAAAAAACATCCCGAACGCCTCGATAACGGCCAGATACATTCTATGAGGTGCTCGTGTGACTGTGCCCTCAGTGAGGGTGTGAAGGGGACACACAAAGGAAAATAAACCACAACAAAAAAAAACTCCCTTATGCTGCGATTGAGGGCGAATACAGATGCTACAGCATTGAGACAGTTATGTGCCACCCGTGAAATACGCCCTGCCTGGCTGGCAGGGCACTAAAACGGCATGGGAACAAAATCAAAACAAAACAAAAAAGCAAAGCCCATTCCCCACATAGGGGCCAGATACATTCATCAAAGGCCTCTGCAACTTCCACCCTCGTGAGGGCCTTCCCCTACGTCCCTGGATTCAAAACTTTTTGTTTTTTTTTTTGTTTTTTTTTGTTCCATTTTTATTTTGTCGGCCTCCAACCCTGCCCCGAGCCCCGTGTTTTAAGGAGTAGGCTACTAGCTGGACTTCGTGTTTGCCTGTGAAAGGTAGTGGTGGTTAAACGACCACATCCAGAACTTGCTGGCGGAATCAAGAGTCATGTAAACTCCCCTCTTCTGACAGGGAACAGAAAAGTCTGGGTGTGGGAACTGGGAGAGAGGAGCTTGGGAGTCTGCCAGCGAAGTTCTATCTCACGTATGCAATGAGAGTGGTCGCCCTTGTGGGTACTTTTGCCCAGGCTCTTCAAAGACTCCGAGTCACAGCAGTACAAGTTCTCTGGAATCGGAGCAACAGGGAGACCCTTCTGTGCTCCCCGCATTTCCTGTCTGCTGTTTCTTAGGCATCGCCAACTTTCCATGGACTGCTTAGTTAATCCTCTCGTATTTGACAGCACTCTACGTTCTTCTGCCCCCCGTGCTCCTTCCCCTCTCCTCCCCCCCCCGCCTCTTTCTGGTGAGGGTGTATCTTTACCTTTGTTCGGATGTATCAGTTGGGACATTGAACCCAGTTTCCACCGGGTGGAGCTCTCCCACCAATAAATCAGCGAGCCATCACAAGCCTGGTGAGAGCCCACTTTAGGAGGCTGCTTTTATCACCTCCCAAAGCGGCTTCGCACAGCAGATATTTCTTTGAAATTAAAAACAAAAAAAGGGGAAAAAAAAAACTTGCGCTTTTTCATCCTCTGTACTAGCTGCCATTATCGCTGTCCTGTTTTATACCCACGCCTCAGTGTCTGCATCACGCCGGGGCATGATAGAGCTGTGGTCGTTGTTCATTTGGCCTAGCAGAGGTAAGGGCCACGACTACCCATCATCGACTACAATGCTACTGTCGTCACCCGAATAGAACACCTGGTCATTATAGCTGTATTCGGGGCAACTTTCAGTCTAGATGCAGCAATACTGACAGGGCATTCTATGCGAGGGACGGCGGTAGCTAAGGCCTGACGAGTGTGGCAAACTCAATCAAACATGGTGTTTCGGCATATTCACAGAGCTAGATGATCCTACCATCGTCCCCCGAATAGAACGTACAATCATTATTAGTGCATCTAGACTGAAAGTTGCCCCGTACGATCATTATTAGTGCATCTAGACTGAAAGTTGCCCCCAAGGACAGGTGTATTATCACCGTACGTTCTATTCAGGGGAGGACTGGAGTAGCCATCGTCTCGCTGATAGCACAATATTCCGTTGCCTTTTGGGGAACAAAGCCAAAAGATCGAATGGAATGGACAATTCATGCAGGGGAGGAAGCATACTTTTTTTTTCCCTTTGGGGGTTTGGGGGGTAGGGGGTGGGGGGGCAGACTTAAGACAGACTTGGTGAAAGCAGGAATAAACCTTTTTCATTTCTTCGCCTCTTCATCTCTCTCTACTGTATGCACACTACCAGGGAACACCCAACAACACGTAACCTCTTATCTTCTTCTTTTTTCTTTTCTTTTCTTTTTTTTTCCAAAATCTTCCTTTATTACCAATGAAAGATTGAGGCCGGGAATCCCTCACAAACAACCCGGAGAGCGTACTGAGACCATGTACTGGGACCGTTACCCAGCTTCGGTTCAAAGGATGAGGGTACGAACCTAGGCACAGAAATGGCTAGATTCGAGTCGCTGTCCTGAAAGCCCTCAACCTAAAAGAAAACAAGAGCTAAAATAAGAAGAGACCAAACAACACTAATCAGAGCTAGAAAGACAGTAAACAAGCACAGTAGTCTTCTACCTACCTCCTATCATCACTCAAACAACGTATAGCACTCCTAAGAGAACTAGAGCAATCCTATGTAACCACGAAAACCACCACCACAGTACAAACGCATTTGCCCCAACACAAAACAATCGGTGTCCAATCTCTCGTCAACGACTCCCTGGTCATCCAGCAATCTGTGATCTAGTACTATGCTAACAACGCTTTGCACACAAAGTACCCTCCCCTCATTCTTCTGCATGTTCAGTATTCTGGGTATCGCTTAATCAACCCCACTCCTTACGACCCGGCTCCTCACATGCCCGCCCTGCCCGCCTCAAAATATATCACCCTTTGAACTTCTCCCCAACATCCTCCCACCACAAAACAGACAGACACCATCCCCACCCTTGCATTACTGGGCTCCTATGAACCTGGTTCTCCCCCTCCTCCTTTCCCCTCCCTCCTTGTTTCCACCCCTGGCCCTGCGACAAACCAGCCACCAACAACTCGCCTTGCCCCCCACCTCCCACCTCATCCTGTTGCCTTCCTCTCCTTTGCAGCATTCTGATGAACCTCAACTGCACCCATTTGCCACATAAGGCAGGCCCGAAGCCCCGCTGTCCATCCCCGGGTTGAATAGGTACTTCGGTGTCTGTTGGTATCCCGTGTCTCTCATCCCCGTCACGAAGCAGAGTCGCTAGGTCCAAAGATAGAACGCCACCCTCTTGCCAATGGCCAATAAAGAAACAGCTTTTCAACGATAAGGATAAGCACCATCTGTTTGCGCACGAGTTTTCAGGGGCCCTGCCTCTGCGTCGGAAGCCGTGGCATGTGTCCTAGCGAAGGCTGAACTACTGACATGAGATTGTGAGGCATAGGTCTTGGCTTATCTCCAGACACCCTCGACAGCAGCTCCCGGTAGGCACCCTCCAGGCATTGCTTGACGTCCCTGTACGAGGCAATCAACATCGACTTCTCGTCTCTGCTCATCAATATCAACTTCTCGGAAACACCTGCATCCAATTTGTTGAGCGCCTCTATGACATGGCCCCAGTCCAGCATCGGCCGTCTCTCCTCCGTCACCTGATGAAACACGAAATCGCGGAAGAGCTTGAGAAGGTACCGGTCGCCAGTTTCCGACCAGCCAGGATCTGTGTCATTCTCTGGTCGCTCATTGATCATGCCCATCTTCACGAGTATCCTGAACAAGTGACCATTCTCAGCCTCTTTCCGCAATTCTTCCATCAGGAGATCGTTAAACGTGTACAAATGCTCAAGCTCGCCAAACATGCGCTCGCTGAGGATTGCACTCAGCTGCCGTGCGCTGGTCAACCCACCGCCTTCAGTGTTCTCCGGGGTCGACGCAATCAACGCCTGAGTCAACCTCACAATATCAGCGGAGTACTGGGCAACCATCACCTCAAGGGAAGCATTCCCGATCGACCCACACGCTAGCGCCAGCAGCAGTCGCCCGAAACCAGCCAAGTCCTCGCGCTGAAGCAACCGCGGATCATCATTCGGATCACCATTCAGCATATCCAGAATGCCGATTGAGCCTACTCTCAGGCGACCTCGGCTGGTCAGAAGAACCTTGGAGGGGTCGAGACCGCCGGGTCTCAATGCCAGTCCTGCACTGTGCACCGCTCTCAGCAATGTTGCAATCTGCATCGCATAGCTCCACAGCTGCTCCTCGCTGATCCTCGCTGCTGGATGCCCCATGCTCCTGTTTGGTCCATCGCTGATGTGAACGCTCTCAAGCGTAACCGCAGCCGGGTAATAATCATGGACGAAGAACAATGCGGCCGCATCGTCAACTTCCCGACTGACAAAGGACTCCCGCAGCGCTACGAGATGCGGGTGACCGGCAAGCGGGGCCCATCGATCTGCAGACTCCTGTGCCGCAACCACCAACTCCGGAGCCGGAATAACCTGCCGGGGGTCTATTCTCCGTATGGCATACGCCACCCCATCGGTTGCACTGATTCCTTTGAAGATCATTGTCCTGACTCCAAAGGACGAGCTGGGCGCCTCCTCCTCCCTTGTCATGTCCTCAAGCGGGTACAACGAATGAAACCGCTGGACCATCTCGGGCAGATCGGCAATGTCCTGCTCGGGATCCATCTGCGCTTGCACAAGCGCAGACTTGTGCCGAAGCTCCTCCCTCAGGCTTTCAGGCATAAACCTGGAAGCCAGCTGTGTCGTTCCTGGGGGAAGGAATGCTCCCCGGGCTCCCCGGCCGTCTGGCCGACTGCCAGGCGCAGCAATCGGGCCAGTACCACCACCCCCCATGTAATTACCCATGTGCACAAATCCCCCTCCTCCTCCATGATGGTGCCCCGAAGCCCCGTGCTGGTGATGGTGATGAGCAGATGCAGCCGGTTGCAGTCCTGGATGAACTGTTCCCCCATGGCTGGAAGAAGGGCCACTGAAAAAATATGTGGGCCCTCCATGCGCAGCTGCCACACCCAGCCCAGGCCCAGGTGATACTGGCCTCACACTGTACAAAGACCCCGCCTGCTGAGCTGACACCTGAGGGGATATCTGCTGCTGTGCACGTTGCATTTGCAGTGGTGGAGTTTTCTGGCGTTGCTGCTGCAGCTGCAACTGGAGTTGCTGCTGGAGGAGTTGGGTCTGCTGCTGCTGAAATAGCTGCTGCTGATGGTGATGCTGCTTCTGCTGCTGAAGCAAATGCTGATGCTGTTGCTGCTGAAGAAGCTGCTGCTGTTGGTTTTGATGATGATGAACACTTTGCTGCTGCTGCTGCTGCTGGCTCTGTTGTTGCTGCTGCTGCTGCTGCAAATGTTGTTTTAATTGCTGCTGTGAATTGCCTGGTGCCTGCTGCGTATGTTGCGTATGCATGTCGAGTATCATTTTCTGATGCTGTTCCTGCTGGTGATCAAGCTGCTGCTCTTGTTGCTTTTGTTGAGGTGATGGCTTCTGACAAGCCTCGTCTCCTCTGAGCTCTGCTGTCCTCCCACTCAGGTCATGCTTCTCGTTTCCCGGCGATTGCTGCTGTGGAGACCTTGGGTGTGCTATCGAGCCACTGGAGGAGCACAAGTTCACCCCTCCTGTCCCATCATTAGATACCCCTGCACCAGACCCCCCACGAACCAGGAGGGACGGTATGCCATTGCCGAGATCCCGACTCGCAGGTAATGACCCACCGCCACTTGGGCCTACATCACCCACAGAACCGGAGTCAACCCGGGGAGACATGGAGCCATCCCCCGCACCACCGATCACACCCACTTGCCCGGGGGATTGCTGTTGAGGCAGCACCCCTTGCTGTTGGCCCGGTGACGATTGTTGTTGGGTCTGTGCGACCGTCTGCTTTCCAATGGGTGCGGGCGAAGGGCATGGAGAAATGCGTGGTGAAGTGTGCGCCCGTGGCCCTATGACCTGCTGCTGGCCTTGCAGCAACATCTGCTGACTTGTCAGCAGGGGCTGTTGCGTTGTTGCCGCCACCTGCTGAAGCTGCAGCTGCAGCTGCTGGGCGGACAAATGACTCCCCTGAGCAGACTGCATGGCCTGCTGATGTTTTTGCTGCTGAAGCTGGAACTGCTGCAGCTGCTGCTGTAATTGCTGCTGCTGCTGCTGCTGCTGCTGCTGCTGCTGCTGCTGCTGCTGCTGTTGCTGAAGTAAGGAAGGAATAGACGCCTGGCCTCTCGGAGATCTCGCTCCAAGCAGACCACTCAAATGTGACAGTGATTGCTGCTGCTGCTGCTGCTGCTGCTGCTGTTGCTGCTGATGGATCAGTACCTTTTGCATTCCAATTTGCGACAAGGAGCCGTGGCCGGGACTGCTTATACCACCACCACCTGGCCCAGTTCCAAGTGTCCCATTGCTCATTCGAGCCTCTGCCATTCCGAGATGCGACACCTTGTCCCCCCCGATCAACCCCAAAACTCCAGGAATGAGAGACCCATCACCCCCCAGTCCGCCAATTACCTGCATGCCTCCATTCCCTCCTCCAACACCCCCGGGCCCGCTTGTTGCCCCTTGCACCATCCCAAACTCCGTCCGCGCCCCAGGTGGAGACATCGCGGTCATTCCCAATGCCGGATCGTCCCCTTCCGGCAGCCTGTACGGGACCATCATTGCAATCTGATCTGTCCCTAATAAGTAACTTCCTCCTCCTCCACTGCTGCGTAATGCAGCCGCCGCAGCAGCGGCAGCTCCTGCAACCCCAGGCCTCATGCCTGCTACCTGCTGTTGTTGCTGCTGCGGCTGCGCCTGCTGTGCCTGTTGCCCTTCCCCCCCCCCCATCCTCTGCGCCTGCTGTGGGCGTTGCTGCCCTCTCTGTGCCGAAGCTGCTCCCTGCTGCTGACACAGTTGAATCTGCTGTGTAAGCGCTGTTGTCACTGCCGATTGAATTCCCTGCAGGCCTTGGGACATCATCCCGATCCCGCCCCCCGTCCCAGAAAGGATCCCCCCCCCACTCCCTCTTCCAATCGCTCCAAGCTGCAGCGATTTCTTCGGTACAAAGGGAGCGGCATTTGCCAACGACGCTGTCACCGTGCTCGGCCCGACCGAGGATGCCAAGCTTTGCAATCCCATTGATGGGCAAACTGTTGCTGCCACTGACAAGGACCGCCCTGCCATGTTCACCGACGCAATTCCGCTCGGAATGAATGGTGGCGCATTCGCATTCGCCGCAATCGATCCTCCTCCACCCACTGCGCTAGTCACTTCGCTCCCCCCCCCYCCCCCCCCCCCCCCCCCCATCTGCACCAGCCCCCCAAGCAAGCCACCAACCGATGACAGCAACTGAGGAGGAGGAGGAGGAGGAGGAGGAGTAGGCCCGCTCAGGGCTGCGGAAGAGGGTGTCGCGCCCGAATCAACAACACGCACACTCAAGGACCCACTGCTAGGTGCCGACGCAAGGGTACCACTACTCCGAGGGACCTGGGAAGAGATGACAGATGGGTCCGACACCGATGCTCTCGCCGCTGCTGCAGGGGAGGAGCTACCCGCGGAGCCTGACAATGTCGTCGCACTTGTAGAAGCCACAGGTGCAGCTGAGGCTGAGGACCCAGACGTCGAGGCAGACGTTGTCGTCGTCGCTGTGTCCCCTCCTCCAGCTGCAATTCCACCTGATCTTGCCCCTGATAAGGGGGCGGAACTTACCGGTGCCTTAGCGACGCCTGGCACAGTGATCCCTCCCCAGGCATTGAGAGCGGCTCTCTGGGCAGCGGCAACAGCAGCCGGCACAAACACTGGCGCGGAGATAGGTAACAGAACCTTGCGGTTAGCTGCGGAGGCAGGAGCCCACACACCAACACCACCACCACCACCACCACCACTGCTGCTGGCTGCTCGAGATGTGGACAATTTGTTGCTCGGGGAAGAAGCGGACACTGCCGGAGCGGGAGGTGGCCCAGAGCGAGTCACCCCCACTATGTCATGGTTAAACTCGCACCCATTGTTCTCGTCCTTGCAGTATCCGGTCAGCAGCAACTCCTTACAAGCCTTCTCCTTCTTCGGTACGGTTTTCCCTCCATCCCCCTTCTCTTCCAGGTTGTGCGCGAAGTTGCACTGCTCCCCTAGGAAACATTTCCCTGAGGCCGCCCAGTACCTGCAAGTCACATTACTGAAGCTGGACATATCTTCTGGCGGTGTGGGGTAACCCTTCCTTCCCGGTTAGCACCCTCGGATCACGCTCACTCATCGCGCAATCAGCCACAACATCAAGACGGATCGCCCCTCTCACGCTCACACGCAGCACTGCTTAAGAGGTTGAGAGGTCAATTGCCAGCTCAACTCGATCAATCAATAATAAGCCCGTGCAATTGCCCGCCCCGGCCGCGGTACCATCGGATCCTTCGACCAGCGAACAAAGATGCAAGATCAGTTTGCCTCCAGAGCAAAGATGTCGCCATAACCTCTTTGAGAACAGTACTCCTCACGGCCACACCCGCTGAATAAATGACGATAAGCGTTAACCCCTCTCTCCACCCCTCTCTCCCCCCCCCCCTCTCCTCTACTCGCTCCCAGCGCATGAACTCTCTCCAAGATCAGCTACTTAGTATTTTGAGGTAACAAGCTCGATTCCTCATTTCCTAGGCGTCGATCTTCGTCCTCTCCGGTTGCCGATGATGATGCGGGATCCAGCCAAATTGGTAGACAAGCCCAAATCCCCTCGCCATGCAGCAGGGGAGTGCGCTTCCACGGAGAAAAGGAAGAAGAGATGGGGCGCTCGGCCGTCATAAACAGTTTCAATGGCACACCACCTAGATTCATCACAGGTCCGTACCTCTCCCTAACCTAACCCAAAGGGGAAGGTTTGTACCACACAGTGTTGGTATGAGAGGTATCATAATTTCCCTTCCTCTCGTTCGTAGCCGCCCACCTGCTGGCGCACGATTTAGAACAGGAAAACACAAACATTGGGCGCACACACACACACACACACACACGCGCGCGCGCGCGCGCGCACACACACACACAGACACAAAACACGCACGCAGAGAGAGAGAGACGGGGCGGGAGAGAGGGGAGAGAGGGAGAGAGGGGAGAGAGAGAGAGAGGGGGAGAGAGGGAGAGAAGGGGAGAGAGAGGTGGAAGAGAGCAGAGAGAGAGGGAGAGAAAAGGGGGGAGGGAGGGAGAGAGACGGGGAGAGGGATGGAGAGAGTGGGAGACGGGGAGAGAGAGGGAGACAGAGGGAGAGAGGAAGAGAGGGAGAGAGAAAGAGGGAGAGGGAGAGAGAGAAGCAGAAAGGAAGGGGGGGAAGAGAGAGAGAGAGAGAGGGAGAAAGAGACGGACAGACAGACAGACAGACAGACAGACAGACAGACAGACAGACAGACAGACGGACAGACAGACATACAGAGACAAAGAGAGAGAGTGAGGGTGGGAGTGAGAGATGTCTCGGGATGTGTGAGTATCATATATTTTTTTTTAGCGTCATCTTTGCGCGCGCATGCTGCATGTTAATCTTCTTCCCCGTCATCTTTAGACGGCTATGGCAAAAGAAAAGGACTAGAGTTGTTGTTCAATGGCCAGCCTAAGGTAGGATGTCGTTGGAGCAAACGAGGAAACGAAGAGGTCGTATGGAACAAGCAAACAAACCAGGGAGAGAAGACGAAGTGAGAGCGATGGCGACGTCCCGCTAAGCCAGATTCTCCCTTTCCGACCGTCAATTGTGAACATCCACGGCCAGAAAACGATCAATCCGGCCGGGCAAGTGGGACCTCGCCCCGGGAATGGACGCAGAAGCTTAGGGCAGGCGGCGGGGTGAGGTTCAACAGGCAGAGGCAGGCATAGGGTTTCCTCGAGCCTCGTGTTTTTCCGCCCTTTTCCTTGTTCGTTTCCCCGTCTTTCGCCCTCGCCCCACCACTCACCAAATGTGAAAAAGACAAAAATATGGCACCTGCATTTTGCCACGCTTTCCAGGAAGATGCGTTCTCCTTTTCGCACATTTTGAGCCCATCGATCACTGCATCGAGCCCCTTTGTCCCCGTACCCTCCTTTCCAGCGACTGAGGTACCATTTCCATTTTCCATTCTTCTGTGGAATTGAGCGGCTCTCACCGTCGATCTGCTACCTTCTTCCCCCGAATACAACGCACGGTCATTATAGCTGTATTTGAGGCATCTTGCAGTCTAGATACAGCTATAATGACCGAGCGTTGTATTCGGGGGAAGAAGGTAGACAGAGGGTACCGTCAGTCAGTCAGTCAGTTTGCAAGCTCCAAATCCACGCTTGCTGAGGACGGACAAAGCACAAGCGGAGCCCGGTCTACAGCTTGCGCTATTACTGAGCTATTCTAGCGCGTTCCTGGCCGGATTTTAGACCAGGTTCACACCTTTCATTAGCACGACCAGAGCGCAGGGTCTATCATTGTGCTATGCGAGAACAATCTTGTCCTGTCCTGGCAGGGTGCCCTCCCTCCCTCGCTCCACTACACTACACTATGGGCCTCGCTGCACTCCTCTTGAAAAATGCACAAAAGACAAAACTCATGGGCGTGTATCTTTCCATATTCTAACGAAAGATTCACTCTCTTTTTGCACATTTGGAGAGAGTAGTGCAGCGAGGCCCTATAGAACATTCGATTCGAAACATTCGATTCGAAATGGATCTGGATCTGTGAGTGCTCCGTGTGCGTTCAAATTCTTGGATCAGTTGGACTGTGCATCTAGTGCATAAACACAGTCCAGATACGTGTCGAAATGAAGAGTAGCCGAGCGAGGCCCGTAAGCACGAAAAAAGAAAAAAGAGCGCAACCAGGAGGGTCTTCCCTTATGTTTTCTGAGGTGGAAGGAGGGGGTGGTTCGCTGGCAGCCCGTCGAAAGAGTGCACTCACCCACCACATGTGGCTGAACGCGATAGGCACACCTGTTTGGCTATACGGCATGAGTTCGAACCCGGATGAGATCAATAAAATACCGCCAGTTATGAAAAAAAACATAACAACAAAGTGAAAAAAACTGAAACCAAAAGAAAGAAAGAGCCCGCGCAGTGTTGCCCGTCCGCCGCCGCGCGCATACGCGGCGAGTGTCAGTGTCACCGAACTAGAGCAGCAGTGCTCCCACAGAGTAGCGCAGTGCGTGGTCTTCCCATAACCATGTTCACTTCCCAGAACCTCAGAACGACACCGGGTGCTCCTCGGCGCTACTATATAAATCGCAAATCTTCTCTATTTAGCATACTTACCTGGCCGGGGCTCATCCGTGATCAGAAAGGCGGATGGCCTAGGTTGCAGGGATTCCCATTGCACTACGGGATTCGCCTGGCCTAAGTCACACCCACGGAGGTGTTACTACGGCATTATTTGTGGTAGCGGGGGCACGCGTTCGCGCGGCCCCCAACTAAATAAAATGAAAGTCAAGAAGGAATTCGCCGGGAACAAGTGTCCTCGCCGCAGTCTCGAGAAAGTGACACTGTCCTTCGGGCCATTTGTTAAAATTGGAGCAATACAGAGAAGACTAGCATGGCCCTTGCGCAAGGATGACACGCATAAATCAAGAAATGGTCCAAATCTTTTATATGAATAGGGTAGAGGAAGGTTGAAATGATTCCAGATCCGGGGGCCAAGTCCCACTTACCCGAGCGGTCGATTTCTGACCGCAGATTTGGAAGATCAACGACCAGAAATCGCCGATAAGCGTAAGTGGGAGTGGGACTCGGCACCGGGTATACACATGGAGCGAGGACTTTCGTTTTTCGCTCGGCAGTCGGTAAATCACCGACACCCTTCTTAATTTTATGGTTTATGGACTGTCGAGCATAAACAAGGGTCGTCGTTGTACCTCATGAATTTATATTATATTAAATAGAGATCTTATCGACCAATTATATCCCAGTTTTAAGGGTGGCTTGATACCTTCTTTTTTTTTTTGTTGAACTTTGACCTACGGATGTCCCAGCGTATAGCCAAATTCTCTCCTTGATTTTTCCATTACTGGATGATTGCCCCGGATTTGGGCCACCCTAGCCCATCGAGTGCCCGCCTGGGGAGTATGGTCGCAAGGCCGAAACTCTCACACAAAGTGGCACTAAATCTGAGTGTGCACCCTGAACCAGGGACGAACAGGGTCGAAAAAATCCGAAGTGGTGGTGGATCCGAGTGCACACCCCGAGTGAGGCCCTCAACTGATGTGGAAATTAAGAAGGGTGTCGATGATATATGAAGGACTGCCGAGCGAGAAACAAAGGTCCTCTACTCCTCGCTGCAATCTCACGAAGTGACACTGAACCCGCGTGTACACACACCAAATTGGGGAAGAGAGCTCGCCACCATTGGCACTTCTCCCATTTCATGAGTGGGATGAAGAGGGTGGAAGAGAGGGTGAAGGGGACTGAAAGTTCGGACAACAGGAGTGTGTTTTATTTTTAACTTCTACCCCTGCTGCAGTCTCAGGAAGTGACACGGACTCTGAGTGTACACCCCGAATGGGGGATCAAGAGGTTCCCATTCAGAGGAATGGGAAAGATAGCTTGCCACCATTGGCACTTCTCTCTTTTCATGAGTGGGATGAAGTCCAGGCTGCATTTTCAATGGATAGTGATGTCGGGTTGAGGGCGTCTCGGTCGTGTTTTTTTTGGCCTCTCATTGTTCACAGGTTTTGTCTTTGATGAACCTTGATGCATGGGACATGTTGGTCAATCTCAACTTTTCGTTTTTGTAATATTTAAAATTTTCATTGTATTTTGTTATACTTCTACGTAGGATTTATGTGCCCCTTAGCGAGCGCACTCATAAATATTTTTCCTCATGTTCTTCTTGAAGTCTGGAAATCACGGGTGCCCATTGGGTTATTTTGCAACAAGTCTTTTCTTTGCGCATGTACATTTTAGAGGTGCTCCTGCAAGCTCCGTAATTTTTGTCGATGTATGATGCAATAGAAATAGATGTAGAAATTCACGTGTTTTAGATTTTGCGCACAAAATTTTCTTTCGACTTTTCAATTTAAGTTCGACTTTATGAATTACGCGCAGATTCACAAATATTTCGCATAACTGCTTAGGTACCTTTCTAATCTTGTGTGCATGCATCCTTCTTCCCTGTGCTCTTGCATGCAATATTTTCTAACTCTGCTAACTTTTTTTTTTCGCACCATTATCGACAAATTGTAACTATTTTTTTCTCCTTTGTGCGCTTCATCTTTCTTCTTGCTTCAATTTAATTTTGGTATTGTTCCATGCTGCTTTTCACAACCTTTTTTTCTATCTTCGTCTATAGGTAGAAAAACCCCGCTAATCCCCAAAGTAATTATAGAAGTCAAACAACAACGTGTAAAGAGGCTTTCAACTTCTCACATTGTGGTCTGATTGACGAAGTACTCTACGGAAATCAACATGACCCTCTCGCAAACCTTTCCCTTTCTCAACAGTCCCCTCTTCTCTCGTTTCATTATTCTTTTGAATCTCTTCCCTTCCCTTTCGCAACTATAAATCTCGCAAGTACATCGTTTTTGTTTATCGCAATATATCGGCCAACTTGGGTGGAGTGGTAGTTAAATGATGTGGAGATCAGTAAGTTGGAAAGTCTTGACGAGTTAGCTGCAACTTTGTAGGATTGCGTGTTGGATCGCTGCGATGGACTGCATGATCCTAGCGAATCCACGTTGTAGTTAAGCAGACGGGATGATGATTGTTGGGGTTTAGTGTTGGGTACATGGTGGGCGAGATCGTCAGTGCTCGAACAAGGTGAGGTGTGTTGATGGCTGGTTGGATAAACTGGGATCATAACTCGAGAGCAGAGATTTTTTTTTTTCTTCATCATTTATATTTGGAGTTATGTTGAATGACGAAATTTCGATTTTTCTTTTCAATTGAGCAAGTGTTTATACTAATCTCCTTTCTATTTGTGGATGTATGAGTGAATAGATGGTTGTTGCATGTGCTTGGCCAACAATGATGTGAATGCATGTGTCCTTGAGCTTTGCTCGTCGTTTCGTCCGTCCGTTGTCAAGATCTCGTCGGGCGAGGATCGTTGAAACGCAAGAGTTGACGAAGGTTGTTTGGCGAAATGCATGTCTCTCTTCTCTTTYGCTCATCAAGTTATTTTCCCTTTAGTTAAACATTTTGTCAAATAACGTCTTTGRACCTTCACAATCTCAGTGATGGCGTACTATGCAGTACTCACAATCGCGTGACTYTTAGTGATTTTGGGGGTCGCATTCGACACTGAGGTGTTGGTTGACATGCGCCTTAAGAGGTGAATCTCTCGACGCTAGACAACCGCTGAGGCGATCGTGAACCACATCCTTTTCTGCACCCTGCGAAGAGTGGATGGTAGACAGGTTTTGGCCTGTCGTGACAGTCTTCCCTTATGACCATGAAAACGAGCTTCAAACATTGGAGGCTTGGAGACAAGCCAAGGACTTTRACTTTGATGGCTGCCACATACTTCAACGTCCAACTATAATAATTATAAAAAACAAAAGGCAAAAAGGGATCTCTCTTGTCTCTCAAACGCAAAATCCGCTCAACCCGTACGCATGGTCACAGTAGACCACGCAGATAAGTTTCCACRAGAAATGAAAGTTAAAAAAACATTCCATAAAAAAAAAAAATCCTTCATATTTATAAATTATCATTCCAATSTTCGTCMAATTCTAAAATTTTYAGTTTTATTTGATAAGTTCCCGTCTAAAT